ATTTCCTTCCTATTTCTTGATATCTATTATACATATTTTTCCTAATTTAAAATTTTGGTTTTTTAATATTGCTGAAACAATAAGATCTTTACACATGTGGGTCCAATTTATTTCACTTAAGATTATGGTCTAAAGGTGCATCCATTTACCTAGAAATGTCTCATTTATTTTTTCTTTATAGCATCATAATATTTCATTATAAAAAAAGAAAATATTTATGAATTCATGGTTGATGGACATTTGGCTTATTTCTAAGATTTAACTGTTAAAAACTGTGCTGCTGTAAGTATGAGTATGTGTATATCACCATTGTATGATGCTTTTAATTCCTATAGAAAGAGACCATGAAAGTGATTCACTAAGTCAACTGGGACCGCTAGTCCTAGAACTTTTGAGGAATCTTCACACTGATTTCCACAGGGGTTTGCACCAATATACACTCCAACAATGTAGAAGGGTTTTTATCAACATCCATACCAGCATTTATTATTGATTGATTTCTTGGTAATAGTCATTCTTTCTGGAATGAGATGGAGTATCAACACTGTTTTAAATTGCATCTCTCAAATTACCAATGATGTTGAATGTTTTTATGTATTTTTTTCCATTTTCATTTCTTCATCTGAGAAATATCTATTCATTTCAGATCCTCATTTTGGGGTTGGACCTTTAAATCTGGTATGTCTGATTCTTTTTGAGTTCTTTATCTCTTTTAGATATTGACACTTTGTCTGAAAAAGAGCTGGCAATAACTTTGTTTCCCACTCTTTGTGGTGTCACTTTGCTCTGTGGGTGACTTCTTTTGCTGTGCAAAATATTTTTAATAAGCTGAGATCCCAGCTGTTGATCTTTTGTAACATTTCTCATGCAATCAATGTTTCCTTTATAAAATCTTTGCCTGCACTGGTGTCTTCAAGAGTTGTACTTGTTCTCTCTTCCAGCAGACTTAGTATTTCTGTTTTAATATTTAAATCTTTGATCCATTTTGATTTTAATACAGTGCATAGTGATAGATATGGATCAAGTTTTAGTCCTTAGCATGTGAAAAGCCAGTTTTTCCAGCAAAAAGTCTTTCTTCAAGTGAACATGTTTGGCCCCTTTGTTACAGATAAGATGACTACATCCTAAGTTTTTTGACCATCTTAAAACTAAGCGTACTTTTGAATAACTCAATTTCATATTAAAAATGTTCTGTTCAACTTTCATTTGCTATATTTCCTAGAATAACTTTCATCTTTTAATTAATTCAAATCCTATGTAAGTCAAAAGTTGCCATCATAGGGAGCTATTTTCCTAGATTTCTACCAAAATTTTCACTTTCAACTGAGAAATTTTTCATTCTGAAATAGGGACCTATTTAGGACACAGAAGCACATTTCTTAATTAATAGATATAATTACCATATATTTTTGTCTCATTATGGCAGTTTTAGTGTAAAGGATAATATTTATTTTATAAAAATTGGGATTTGTAGGAAGGCTTTGTTCATGAGACCCAATATTCCTCCATCTGTCTCAAGTTATGCTTTAAAATATCTCCAGAATTAAAGACTTATCACACCATGGGAGGCAGCACTTTTCTCCCTATAGTGGTCTTACATAGCATGGTTAATACATAAGTTAAATCAGACACTGCACTTTAGCTTAGTAGTACACTGCTACCACACTATGAAATGCTCCAGAGACTTTCTGTGTCTCAGTGTTCACAAGTGTGATTATTTATAATCTTCTCAAGCAAAATTCCCATGTAATGGATATATTTGGAAATTGGAAATCATGCGAAGGCTTGAGGAAGATGAAAGAGCCTTAAAAACAGGTCTATTGCATTCGGTAAAAATATGCATAATGAGCATACTCATTATACATACCATGGATGCCAGGTACATTTTCTGCCTCTGTATCTTTATTCAGAGTATGAGGAAAAATAAATACAGCCAAATAATTTACTTTTAATGCATCATAACTTCTACTGCTCTTTTATGATCAATAGTGTATACTCAGTCAAGATGAAGAAGCAAGGTTAGTAAAAAAGAAAAAATTAAAATGCCACCCCACCCCAAAGAGAGATACTGTTTTTTTATCAATGTCTAATGTAGTTGTTCTGTTTACTAGAGAGTAAGAATTTCCATTCTCATGAGGAGCAATCATCTATTAATCTTAGATCCTTATTAATAATGCTGCATAGTGAATTTCTCAACTCTTACCTCATTTATGAATATAAGAATTTTAAATTCATGCCTACCACATTGGAAAAATAATAAAAAGACAGAGCAAATCTATGATATGCAGAAATATAGTACTTAAGTTATAAAAGGCAAGTGTTAGCTTAATACATTATAAATTTAAAGCCTAACTAGTTTCTTTTATCTTTCTCACATTATATGTTGTCTCATGTTCCCAGAACTAATTCATATGTGTGTTAACACTGCTAATTATTTTGAGTTTGTAGGGTCCACATTTTGAGCAGTTTGAAGACAATAGGAGAACTTTCTTATTTTATACTATTAGTAAATATCCATGTGTACTACTAAGTAAATTTCCTTATATAAGTACAGAATGAAGCTTCTAGTATATGTAAGTTTTGTGTATAAATATATACTTGTATGCATTTATTTCTCACACAGATATATATATTATATGTTATGCTATATATATAGCATAATAATATATACATATAATATATATATAATAATATATACATATATTATATATATATATATATATATATATATATATATAATGGAGTAAATATTTCAGGGCTTATGGTTTGACTTATATCTTTAAATCATAGAGTAGAGCCTAAGAATGTTGCAAAGTAAGGTACCCATACATAAATCTTTACAGGAAAAATAATATGATGTTCATAGACAAAGCAATCTGTGGAAACTCTGCTATCCACCCAACACAAAGTTATGAAACTATCACAAAGCCCCTAAGCAAGAAAGGCTGCTTTAAAAAAGTGTTCCCACCCACCCACCCCACACCACTGGGATTTTTATTTACTGATCTTTGATGAACCTCTGGGAGGAACATTGGTAATCACTAGCGAATTTTATTTTCTCTACACAAAATGTAGGAATAGCCTACATGACCAGTATTCTCAGGCATCCTGAGAAAGTTTAGAACATTAAAAATGCAATGTATTAATTGCCTATATTAATTAGAAATGTGGTGCTAGAAATTTTGACTCCTAACTCTGCACCAAGATGAGGGGATATGGCTATGAAAAATACCAGGCTAAATTTCTATATCAATTCTGAGTGGCTCCTGGTGATCATAGCAGCTGTGTCTTGTGCCCACTCACTCGCTGTGATGACAACAGGAGAGAGAAGCCCATCTTCTGAATCACACAGAAAAAAGATGGAGCGCTGGATGTATGCTATACCTCGATCATTTCCTACAGGAAGTCTCTGCCTTTAGTTTATGGTGCTCTGAAAAGAATAGAATAGGAATGGTCAGACGGTAAATCAGAAGTCCCTACTGGATTCAATATGGCTGATCTTATGTTAGACCAGCCTGAAGGAGAACTGTCACTAGTTTTTGGAGTTCTCACCGTTGAAACATTCCCCTTGCTGAGCTCATGGGGGAAAAGTAAACTAAGATTTTCTGTTCTACTACCTGGCTGACAGCAAAGTGAGAGTTTACTTTTGACTGGGCCCTAGGGGCTGTACAGTCCCTATAGAAAAGGGAAGAGAAAGCACAAGAGTAAATCTCTGGTGAACTACAGACAGATTATGTTCCTGCTGTAAATGCAATGCCTAATTTCCTATTACACGTAGACTCTGTTCCCTGGAGAGGACACTGAGCAATCTTTTATTATTTTTTTTTTATTTTTTTGATTAGATGAAATGCATTGTTTCGTTAGGTTCACGTGGAATTCTATGTGGCTTATGAAAAGGATAAAAGTGTTCATCACAACTGTGTTCTGCTACTTTAGATGCTTGTGTCATAGTACAAATTATTATGTGTAGCTTTCAGAATGATTTCCAGGCACACTGGAAATAAAGTGGAGGCTGCAATTGATCTTTCAGAACCTTGGAGGTAAGTTCAGTGAGCAGTAAGGAAGAACAAAGGTATCCTGGCCTCATAAATTGGAGTTTCTAAATTCTACTTATATAAATGTCTTCTTCTGAGATTGAAGTTCAGGGGTCTAATATCTTGCTCTCTTTCAGTGGGAGCAAACCTGTGAAACACATGTTATTTGTTTTGCTTTTAAAATAAATCATGTTTATCTATGAATTATTTTTTTAAAACTAAAACTTCAGTATTCTGGTTTAATCATAGTGTTGGCACCTTGCAATAAGTCTGTTTTGGGGTGCAGTTTGAACGCTTGTGTCTGAAACGTTCACCATCAGTGCTCTATACTTTCTGTATTGTGCATTCCTGACACTCCAGTGAAAGTGGTGAATTAATTGCTTTTAGTAGCACAGCATTCAGAGAAATCAGGAAGCCTTAGGATGTGTTATCACTTCCATAATTTCCTTACCATGGGTAGAAATCTCGCTGTGCTAAATTTCATGATAACTGTGTAAGTAATGCATTCCCAGACTCTAGTTCTTTCTTTTTGTCTTGAAATACTGTTTTAGCTGTCAAACATCCCTGTCTGATGTAATCAATCACCGGATTATCAACCCCTCTGCCGCTGATGTATTGGTGAGATAAGGGCTCAGATGAAGAAAGAATGGAGGGCAGAGTAAGATTATTCTTCCTTGCTATGTGTATTCTTTTCCCTATCCCTGAGTATTCAACGTTTTTGTTTGGACTTGGCACCACAGGCATGCACAGCGTGAATAGATTTGGTGGTGTGCTTTACAATACATCCTTTGTTAAATGCTTCCTAAGAAAACAGTCACTCATCAAGGTGGGGGCAAAAGCAGAATCTATGGATCAGGTTGGGAAGCTCTTGGTTAATCCAGTGATGTCCCACATAATGTGAAAAATATTAGGAGAATAGTTGATTGTCCTCTAATGTTAAGTTTTTTCCATGTCTACCATGTCTCTTGTGGAAGGATGGACCCTGAGAACAGCTCTTCCGTGACTGAATTTATCCTTGTGGGATTAACCAAGCATCCAGATCTCCAACTCCCCCTCTTCATCCTGTTTCTAGTAATGTATGTGGCAACAGTGGTGGGAAATGTGGGCTTATCAACTCTAATTGGGTTGAATTCACGCCTTCATATCCCCATGTATTTTTTCCTCTTTAACTTGTCCTTCATTGACCTCTGTTACTCTTCTGTGTTTTCACCCAAAATGTTGGTGAATTTCATAGCAGAGAAAAATTTTATCTCTTATAGAGGATGTATGACCCAGCTATACTTTTTCAGTTTCTTTTCCATTGCTGAGTGCTATGTGTTGACAGCAATGGCCTATGACCGCTATGTGGCCATCTGTAACCCACTTCTGTATAACACGGCCATGTCCCCCAGAGTGTGTCTCAGCCTTCTGCTTGGCTCCTATCTGATGGCGTTTTCTGGTGCCATGGCCCACACGGGATGCATGCTGAGGCTGACCTTCTGTGATGCAAACACCATCAACCATTATTTCTGTGACATCCTCCCTGTGATGCAGCTCTCCTGCACCAGCACCTACATCAATGAGTTGGAAGTTCTCATTGTGGTGGGGATCAACATCATTGTGCCCAGTGTCACCATCTTTGTCTCTTATGGTTTCATCCTTCACAGCATTTTCCATATCATCTCTTCCAAGGGCAGGTCTAAAACCCTCAGCACCTGCAGCTCCCACATAATCACTGTTGCTCTGTTCTTTGGGTCGGGTGCATTTATGTACCTTAAACCGTCCTCTACTGGATCTATGGATCAGGGGAAAATCTCCTCTGTGTTTTATACCAACACAGTTCCTTTACTAAACCCTTTAATTTACAGCTTGAGGAACAGTCATGTTAAACTGGCCCTCAGAGAAACCCTGAACTGGAGACAGTTTTGATCAGAAATAGTGGCTTCCCTGTGTACAAACCAAGGAAGTTTTGTAAATGTAATTCAGTATTTCTAGCCATTTCATTTTGTGTGTGGTAAGAAAAATTGGAGTCCTTTTAAATAATTTATTTTTGCATTTCATAGAGTATTTATTCCTTTCTTCACCTGAATAATATTTCTTTCCATTGTCTGCTTTTCCCATATGCTTCTTGTAAATACCAGAAGACAAAAGGCCCATAAATTCTTAAACATATTATCTACTTTAAATGTGCAAAGCCCATATATTAAGCTCCTGTTTTTATTAATTCTGTAAAACCAAGCCATCACAACTTCCTCTTGTCTGTGTGGATCATTTTTATTGTGATCTGGAATTGAACCCAGGGACATCATACTGAGTTATTTCCTCAATCTGTCTTTTATTTAATTTTGCGATATGGTTTCACTAAGTTTCTAAATTGCCTGGGATGGACTCCTAATAGTGATCCTTCTGCTTCAGCCTCCTGGAGACCCGGCAATGCAGGTGTGTGATTCCACACACCACATTTGGTTAGCTTCTTAATGAAAGCCTCAACTAAATACTGTCTTCAGATTTCAAGGCTATCTCTTTTTCTAGACTCTTTTATTTCTACTTCACTCTTATTTATGTTCTGCTTTGTTTCAGTAAACATTCAACATGAGATTGCATTCATAGTTCTCAGGTTAACAAATTTGTCCCTTGAAAACTGAAATATGTGCTTCAGAATCAATACTGAATTTATTTTATTGTTCACAAAAACAAGTTGATGAGTTTTCCTTGTTTGGATCCACAGGTGTTTCAGACCAATATTTTCAGAGACCACAGGCTAAAATAGACAGTTTACATTTTGAAAGAAATATTTGATGAATGAGGTAAATTTAACAGTGCCTTTTATGGAGTGTAGTATGGAAGTATTTTCTTGTGTAAAACAGGTAAAACACTGACTAAAGAGTCCTCATTTTAGTTTGTCATTTGATATTTAAACTTTTTATAATGTAATTATAATTAAATGTAACGTACCACATTTATAAATTTACCTATAAATTATAAAATTTGGCATTGTTGGTTTGTTGAGCTATTTCCTCTTTTGGGGTAGGGTTGACCTTGTTGAATTCTTGATATGTTTGTAAGAAATCAACCCCTGTAACATCAACATACTGGATTTTTTTTTACCAGTTTCTATTTATGTAATAATTGATTTGTTTACTTACTGTCTTTTCATGAGAACAAAATGTATCTAACTGTTAATATTTATGTGTTTGGAACCCAATGAAGCAGTGAAAAAGTGTGCACATTGGATTATACATCTTATTACCCACTATTGTCACAAAGAGCAAATTAAACCTGCTTTTTTATCTTTTATGATCTTCAAGATGGGAAAGAAATCAGCTTTGGCTTCAAAGAAGACAAAGTAAGGTTTCAGCTTTCATAATACCCAGGAAAAATTAATAATTGTTTTAAATATAGTTTATAAAACTTAAGAGAAGTCAAATAATAAAAGGAATATTTTCTGGTAGTTTGTTATTTAGCACAGTGAGCAGTCTGTATCTATTTGGACTTTATGGAAAAGGAAAGGAATCAAATAAGGTGTCTTATTTGCAAGGCATAGTTGTAGATGAGTAATCTTGTAGTTTTTGCTTTTGTGTTATTAATATGACTGTCACTATAGTTGTCCATTAACAGATGAATGGGTAAAGGAAATCTGTTGTCTATCGATTATGGAATACTACTCAGCTGTAGAAATGATAAATTCAAGACATTTGTGGCACAATGGATACTGAAAATATAATGGAAAAATATAATGTTGAGTGAAATAAATCAGACACACAGGTGAAATATCTTATGGTTTCTCTCATTTGACGAATGCAAGGTACAAGTAAAAAGCAAGATTAAACATTAATGAAGGAAAACTGATAGTTATTTGAAAAGGGAAAAGCATGCAAGAGACAGAAGGCGAGGGATGAGAAGAGGGGAAATGGATAAATGAGGATGTAAAATGTGTCATGTACGTGTACCAAAACCTTGCAATTAATGAACATATGTCATAAACATGAACTAAACAATCCATAACACAAATAGTAATGCACATGAGGAAAGGAGGTCTAGAGAAAAAGAAAGGACACAAATAGAGAGAGGAATGAAAATAAACAGACAATGAAGTTATCTTATCCACACATCCCTAATACAAATGAAATTTTATGTACTGAAAATGTATACTAATAGAATTTTAGAAAGAATGTAAGAGACAAAGCTTATTTCTGTTGAAGTTTTCACAGCTGATGTTTAAAAAGTCAATGATTCATTTATTTCTGTGCCCGAGGAAGAGGATGTTTGCAAGGCAAGGTGGAAGCTCGGACTTTATAGAAAACAACAGAAAATGATCACGATGAAGGGCCAAAATCCTTCTGATTTCATCATGAATTTATTCAAATAAACTTCTTTAAGCAAGCTGCCATTCTTCTATGAATTAGTTAGGAATGAGTGACCAAGTGTTCTTTGAATAAGAGCTAATTGAAAGTCAAAAATCTGAGTTTTTTTTTTTTTTTTTTGTCTTTTTCATTTTTATCAGTACTGGGGGGCTATGGGCTCTGTTTCTCAAGATTTATCAAACTCTAGTCTTCCTTAAATTCCATTCTGTATTTTACTTGACTCTGTTTCCTTGTACACGTTTAATCACACATACAACAGTACACAAGGCAAACACCCACACACACAGTACATACACACAAATCAATTTGTCTAGTCTACTGTTGGTGTATCTGTGGAAACGCAACCTCATATTACCATACACCATTTTTAAATTGTTAAAGCATGTTCAGATAGATGCTTTCTGCTTCTGTTCCCAAAATGACAGCTCAATAAGGAGATTTTGCTAAATCTAGCCAGAGGAAATAGCTACTGTTTTAGTCATTGGTTGTTTACATGAAGAGAGGGACACCATACACACATACAAACACATACAAAAACAAACATACACTAACCGTTTGAAATCTTCATAATAATGTATGGCAACATGTGACATGTCACAAAGAAAATTATGGTAAACTAAGCACAAAACCTAAAGGCAGGAGAGATTAAAGTAAAATTTTTAAGCCCTTAAGTAAACAAATTTCATCCCAGACTTCTATCTGCTGCAACCATATTGCTCAAGTGTGACGAAGAAATAAAGATTTTGTATGATAAAGAAAACCTAAAGAAATTTATAGATACAAAGCCAGCTTTACAGAAAGTATTTGAGGCAGTTGTAGAGAAATATAGTGGAAAAATCAAACATCCCAAAGTAAATAACATATTTAAGAGAAAGAGTGGTTAAACAAAAGAATAAATCAATTAATCAGAACTGAAAATTTAATGCTATAAAGGATACAGTAAAAACTTTCAATGCTAAATTCATTGTCAATGATCTTAATTTCCCAATCAAAAGATATGTTATAAAGTTAAATCAAATAAAATATTATCATATTACCTTTAAGTGACACATCTCATCCCAAAGAAACACAAAGGCTAAAGTGAAAGGATGGTAAATATCCCTCCATACAATCAGAGCCTAAAAGCAAGCAGGAATATCCTATATTCAGACAAAGTGGATTCCAGCGCAAAACTGATCAGAAGAGTCAAGATCGCCAGGTATTGTTAAAGGAAACAATTAATAACAAATACATGCCAACCCAGTCATAGTGGGGAATTTCAATAACCATCTTTCACATATATATCAATGAGACAAAAGATAATAAGTATCAGAGTTGAAGTACATGACAAAAAAAATGGATTTAAGAGGGATATACAGTGTTACATCAAGGACCAAAGAATGAATGTTTTTCTCAATATCATATGGAACATTTCCCAAAAAGAAGCCATATCGTTGCTTCTAAAACATGATTAAATAAAATAAAAGAACTGAAGTGACCCCCCTTCATAATATTGTATCTTAGTGGAATTAAATTAGAAGTGAAAATAATATGGATCATAGAAATTACATTAAAATGTGAAGATACATAACATGCTCTTGAATAATCAATATGTCACAGAAAAAGTCAAGGAAAGAATAAAATTTTCCTAAAATCAAATGATGATGAAAGCACAAAATACCAAAACCTATCAGACATAACAAAATGAGCAATCAAAGGGGAGCTCATAGTTTTAAGTGCCCATATTGAAAAAATTAGGATTAAAAATAAAAATAATAATGATGAACCTTAGCTGTCCAGAGAAAGAACAATAAAACAATTCCAAAGTGAGTACAAGGAAGGAAAAATCAAAATTCAGAAGAGAAATTAACGAATTAAGTCAGTAAAAAATTCAAAGAATCTGGGGCTGGAGATTTAGCTCAGTGGCATAAGCGCCTGCCTTGCAAGCAGGCAGTTGTGTTTCTCTTGTCTGAAATCATGCTGTCTCTGAGTAAATTAAAAATCTCTACATAGGTGTTCAGGTATCTTCTGTAGTGGGAATCTTTCTTCAGGAGACTGGTTCTCACAGGCCTCGGGAATATCAATCAAACAGAACTGAACTTTATCACTCCCCTTGAGGTGCTTCCAAAGGGAACTAGAAACTTCTGGAATCTTTGGAACATTCACCGTCTAGTCCATAAAGCTACAAGATCATCATGAAAAGCCCTCCACAAGGGTCACAGGTGCTCTGGAGCCACAAACTTCCCATGAAGCTCACAGTGACCACACTAACGATCATCCAGGAGCTGTGAGTACCGTGCTAATCTTACTGAACTTCAGATGCGGGGACAGCTTTCAGGCACATCACTGTGACCCAATGGCAAGTACACCTGAGACACTGCAGCACAGTCACCAGAGTCTGATGTCATCCATGTTCATTCTGTGCTGCGATATGTTCCCATGTTGGCATTTGGAAAGTGTTGCTCATTCTTTCTGCTTGTTCAAGGGACCTAAGCCATGATATCCAAAAAGAATAGTGTCGTCATCCTTATCATAGCCAACCAGGGGACACCATGCTTGCATTCTAGAGATTTCATCTTTCATTCCAATCTGGTGCGCAATGAGAGACCTTCCAGAGAGGTCCTCCTCCTCCCAGTCAGGCATCCACACAGACACCTGGGATGCTCAGTGTCTTGACAGACACCAGAACCTGAGCTGCAAGCACTCTTCTGCCCAGTTGCCAGGTCCACTTTGTCATTTTCAGGGGCTTCAACAGAAACTCTAATGACTTTTACATTCATGGTTTACATCATGCTCTCTTGACATCTTCACCCACATCTGAATTTTAGAAAAGATTCTGGGCCTCTTTAGCATTTTCCATTATGGTCTTTCTCTTCTTTCTCTTTTCCTATTAATTATCCATACTGTAATTGTGATCAAATTTTGGGGTCCCCAACCCTACATATATATCACATTATTTGATTTTTATATGTTGAACAGTTCTTAAATTATAGACATAAATCCCAGTGGTTAAAGTTCATAAGCCTTTTATGTTGTTTTATCCATTTTAAAATTCAAACTTATTTTTAATTAATAGTTAAAGACATACAATTGCATCTGATTATGGAGAACTATATGTAATATAATGTTTCAATCAGTGTGAATACACTACTGAACCAGTTTGCATTTCTTTTTTTGAGAGTTGTAGCATAAATGACTTGTAGCTTCATCAAAATCAAAATATATGTGCTGTTTCTGAATTTTATATGCTGTTCCACTGGGCTCTCTGGGCTGTTGCCAATCCTACATACTCATGATTGTTATATCAAAGTAGTAATTTTTAAATATTGTTTTTTTCTTTGAAGTTTTGCTATGTTGGAAAATTATTCTCAATATCCCTAAATCTCTGGCTTTTAATATAAATGACAATCAATTTTCCTATAAAATATCCTGCTTAGAATTTAATATAATTGTATGGATCAATTTAAAAGTGATGGGCCAGTTATATAGCTCAATGGCACAGCACCTGCCTGGCTGTGTTTGTAAGTGAGATTCCTGGAACAAAAAAAAAAGTGTTGAATATATTGGTAAGATCAAATACTTTTATTCTATAAACATAGGGTTTATATCTATCTCTACAAAGTGTGGTAAAAAATTAATGTTTAAATGATAAAAAAATTTATTCCAGTAAATGATTCATTGCCATTAATCCTCCTCAAAATACACCCTCTTAGTGTCTCATCATTTCTGGAGCTTCCTAGCGCAGTTCTGGAAGTGCTCTTCTATGAGTACATGTTTTTATATTTAAGTCATGTCTTTATTTCATGGCATACATATTGCATATGGTACATGATTACATTTACTCATAATATTTTATAGTTGTAAAAGGTACTACTTTACAAATATTCCAATTTTCAATTGTTCCCTGTTAATAAAAAGAAATAATATTGACCTAACTATGGATTTTCTGTCTTTCCCCACACTCATGCTGAAATTTGTTACTGTAATAGCACTTGAAGAATTGGTTACTCCTTAAGTGATGTCTTCATGAATGGTTCCATGCAGGCAATGTGGTAATGGGTTTCTTCTAAGATGACTTGTTTGACTCCTGTTTTGCTTCATTCTCAATCATAATATTCATTCTTAATCTTCCTCACTTTTGTTTTCAGCTTCTTTTGTCTTTTCTACTATGTGATCCCAAATATTACTTTATTATGCTGCAAGAAAGCTATTGACAGTAGCTGGTGTCTTGTCTTTGGATATCGAAAACTGAAGAACAGAGAACTACTGAATTTATTTTTCTTAAAAATTGCACATCTATAAGATTCTATTTGTTAAACCAGAAATGGACTGAGACAGATCTGATGCTCTGTGGCATTCTAAATTTATGTTTAACTTAGAGTAGAATCGATTTTTAGAATACCTTGAATTTTTATGTGGATAATCATATTATTTTCTAGAAAATTATCTTGTTTTATCCTTTGCAATACAACTTCCATTTATTTTTTCTTGCCATATTACACTGTCATCTCTAATCATGATGTAGTTCTAAATATGGAAAACCATGTTTTCTTTTCTCACTGTGAGGTAAAGAATGCATTCTTTATTGCTTTATATTCTTTCTCCCACTAAAATACATTTAAGAGAATTATTTCCCTTGGTCCTTAACACTCAGGAACTCACGTGGTTCTCAAAGTGACAGCAGGAAATGCAAAACAAAAAGGCAAAACTTTTCTCAAAATTTTCTTCTTTAAAATCATAATTGATATAATTCTGCATTCATGAATACATACATCTCTTTCATTTAAAAATGTACAAAATATATAGTTTATAGAGAAACATAATATTTAAAATTGAAATAGAATTTTGATGACTGTTAGAACATACTTGAGAAAGGATGAGAAAAAAATTGCAGATCGTATCCAGGTCAGTGGTTCAGCTTAGAAGGCTCTGGCTGCACAATAGTGTGAAGGCAGCAAAGTGTATAGCTGCTGCACTGTGATTCCTAAATTTCCACCTGTTCTTGGGTAGTGAGTTTTTGACTCATTCTTAGAAACTGCATTTTGATTCTCAAATGTTGACATTTTCTTTGGTGTGATACTATTACAATGCTTTAAGCTAATATAAGCAATCTTAGAACAGTTAGGAATGACTAGGCAAGTTAAATTGTTCAGCAGCTAGCATGTTTTCAACTTGTGATGAATTCATTTGAACACAAATTCTTTATACATGTAAGACATCTGTACTGCAATTAATATTACACTGCTTTACAGATGTACAGATTTATTTTGATTATTTCTTTATCTTCTTATATAATAATCCCAACCGTCCAATGAAGTACATGTTACTTTTTATATTCCTATCTTATAAAGGAGAAGGTATGGCGCAGATGAGCTGCTACTTTTCCAAGATATTATAATTTGAAAATGTGGAGCAGGATTCCAACACAGAACTTCTAACTCTACATTTTCATTTTGTCTATGAGGGATTAAGAAATTTCTAATTTCTAACTACACTGCTGAAGTGTTACATTTAAGATCTCATCAGGACACTCGGCAATCATTTCCACTAAGTGTATAAAGATCAGAACTCTAGTATGGATTCAACACATTAAAAGTCATTTTGGAACTACCTCTGGAGAAACAAAACCTAAGGGGATTACTGCAGTCCTTCACAATTTCACATAAAAGAATAAGCAAGCCTGTATGTAAACTCCATTGAAGATCACTGTTAAAGACACAAGAACGAACAGCAGTGAACCAAAATGATGAATTTCCTTTTGAGATGATGCTGATGGAGAGATGAGAGTTATTTTTTTCTCCGCCATGGGAGATGCACAGCCCTGAAGAGAAAGGAAGGCTTGAGTAAAATATTGAGTGTCTAGGGAATTAATAGATATCATGTGCAAGAAGTAAACACAATACTCTCATTTCCTTTTTATATGTAGAATCTGTGTCTTAGAAAGAGACTGAGCAAGGTATTTCTTTGTTCATAGACAAACTTATTATGTCATTAAATTCATGATAAATCTTCTATTTCAGCTAGTGACAACTGTAATAGTAGGGCTATTTATTTTCCTCTAAAGCTGTTGCTTCACAGGAGATAACATTATCATTATAAAGTATGACTGCTAATTCAGAAGGACCTTGTGTAAATGTAAGATATTCAGCTTGTGTTGCATCTTATTAGAATTAAAGCAATCAGTGACAAAACTCCTACACTGTCCTTAAAGACCAGAGGATAAAATACAACGAGTGATCACCAAGGTTTTCTCTCCTAAGAAGGGTAAGTTTGGAAATCCATTCATATTAATGTCTTCCATGTTATTTAACACCTTTATTGAGATATCACAAACATGCTAAATTATATATATATCAGATATTCCAAATTGATGTGATGACATACACATTGTAAAATAATTTGAACAATGGAAATAGTTAACATATCCATTGCCTCTATATAGTTATCCTTCCACATTTGTGTGATACACATATGTATAAAGAGTAGAAATGTTGAAGATTTATTTTGTTGTCAAATTACGAATATATGAACCAGTATTGTTAACTATTTATATTATGTTTTACATTGGCTCTCCCTGTTTTATATAGCCTGAATTTCTCACTGACTAGTAACAATCAATATCTTACTGTCTTATTATGTGAATGTACTGTTTTAGATTTACACACACACACACATGTGAGATCTTAAGTTACTTCTCTTTCTGTCTCTTATTTTAGTTACCATAGGTCTCACATTTTGAAGTGAAGTCCAGAAATCTGATATAGGTAATTTTTCTCCATTTTTTTCTATTCTAAAACTCAAGAAGAGGACCTTTGAAAGGGAAATAATGTTTGTAGTATTGTTGAACACAGGAATGGTTCGATATTTTAATCATTAAGTATACCTTTCATGGATAAATTCTCAGCTTTCTGGACATGAGTTTTCCTGTTCTGTAGGACAGTTCCTGAATCATTCATTCCTAAAGTCTGGTTGCTGTGTTTAGATGAGAAGAGTTTTCATGGTTCCAAAACACCAGAGTGTGATCTGCATTAAAATTTAATGCCAAGATGAAAGACTTCTGCCTCCAAGTTCACTAGTGGAGGAAAGATCCAAACAAGGGAGAAAATGATGAGATGATGCTGTCCAGTCCTGTGATCTTCATTTTTTTAATAGCAGCTTTGTTTTCATATGGCAGCACTGGCCCTGGCTCTATTCGCAAAACTGAAAATATTGATTTTTTTAACCATATTTCACTTTTAAACCTTCAGTGAGGGGAAGACAATGTCACTCAGCACCAAATAACATTAAAGTCAAGCTCTATGGATTTAGGCTGGTTATGTCCTGACATTTCTGGCTTGTGCCTCACATTCATAAAAGAAGGCATTATAAGAGCACTTATGTGTCTTGTGAGTGTAATTCTGTTTTCCTGTGTCCATAGATTCTACAGAGAAGAATGACTCTTGAAAATGACTCTTTTGTGACTGGATTCATTCTGATGGGCTTAACAGACCGACCAGACCTCCAGCTCCCACTGTTCTTCCTGTTTCTAGGAATGTACGTTTTCACTGTATTAGGAAATTTAGGCTTAATAATTCTGATTGGGTTGAATTCACATCTTCACACTCCCATGTACTTTCTTCTCTTTAACTTGTCTTTCATTGACCTTCATTATACTGCTGTATTTACACCCAAAATGCTAATAAATTTCTTATCACAGAAGAATGTTATCTCCTACAGAGGCTGTATGACCCAGCTCTACTTTTACTGTTTATTCATTATTTCTGAAATCTATGTGCTGACGTCAATGGCTTATGATCGCTATGTGGCCATCTGTGATCCCTTGTTGTATAACACGGCCATGTCCCCTAAAGTGTGTTGCAGCCTTATGCTTGGCTCCTACCTGATGGCGTTCTCTGGTGCCATGGCCCACACAGGATGCATGCTAAGACTGACCTTCTGTGATGCAAATGCCATCAACCACTATTTCTGTGACATCCTCCCTGTGATGCAGCTCTCCTGCAGTAGCAGCTATGTCAATGAGCTTGTGGTTTTCACTGTGGCTGGCTTTAACATCATCGTGCCCTGCATCACCATCTTTTTGTCCTATGTGTTCATCCTCTCTGGTATATTTAAAATACACTCCACGAAGGGCAGGTTGAAAGCTTTCGGCACCTGCGGTTCTCACATAATTACAGTTTCCCTGTTTTTCGGATCATGTGCATTTATGTATCTGAAGCCATCCTCTGCTGCGTCTATGAATCAGGGAAAAATCTGCTCTGTCTTTTACACCAATGTGGTTCCTATGATGAACCCTGTAATCTATAGCTTGAGGAACAAAGATGTGAAAGTTGCTCTGAGAAAATCTTTGGGCAAAAAAGATAGCTTTGATCAGAAACAATCTCTGTCTGTGCATGTTTTTACAACACAAATTAATTCTAAGTTTATATAAAATGTTTCTCTTCAAAACTTCATTATCATATTTCTTTTTTAGCTTGGAAGGCAAGGTCTTGTTTGCCAAAAAAAAAAAAAATTAGCAGTATGTTTTCTCTTTTTCTTCATCACTTACACCTCTCACCATTCTTCCTTTTATGGGTGACATGAAATGAAAATGAAAAAAAAAAATGAGGTTAACAATGTAATTAGAAAGAAGGGTAGAACTGATATCAGAAGACTAACAGTTTGTTTTACATTTTTTTCTTCTTTAAAGAGCTATAGGACATTAAATCATTAACCTCTTGGAGTTTCACTAGCCTTTTATTCAATAAAAACATATTAATAATCTAATAAGTATTAGTTATACTTCACAAGGTACAATAAATAGTGCTGACTAAAAGTATCATGCATAGTGTTTACAGCTGTGATAGAGAGTGTCCTTGATGGACTATTCAGGAATATCTATATTTATAAACTGCTAGCATATGCAAGACATATAGTCCTTCCCAATGTGAGCCTAGCATACAGACAACCTGTGGGATTCATGTTTCATTACAAAGTGACAAATAAAAGTTGTTCTATCCAAAAACATAATATCAGCATAGTGCCATTTTATTTCATCATGTAAAGAATCATTCATTATTTTGAAAGAAAGTGCTCATACTGGCAATGAAGAAGAGAAAGAAGGTAAGAAACAGAGTGGGAAGGAAAGAAGGAAGAAAAGCAAGGAAGCAAGGAAAAATTATAGAGTATATAGAACTTTTTCTAAGCGGCCTTGTGTTAAGTCTTTGTTCAACTGAACACCTTGATGGCATTTTTTGTGTGGCTGTGTAGATTAGAGATGATTAGTGCAAGTTGGCAACAGAAATTTCATAAGAAGGAGAATGGGTTAGTTTTCAGTCTTTTAATGGAGAACAAGTTAGAATGGAAGGGACAGACCAGGTACTAATGAAACACACTGTTAATTTGTAAGAGATCTCTGTTTGAAAAATGAAAAATGCATATTTAAAGCATTTTAGAGTGATCCCATATTTTGCACTGTAGAGTACTCTAGCTATCCTCAACTCTTCATAAAGGTTTGGAAAAATATTTGAATCAGAATTGACATACATTAATATTGTTTTGAGCAATGAAACTGACCATATTTGTGGGAAATCAGAAAGAAAAAGACAACTTCAAAAATAAAATAGTGTCAATTAAAATTCAAATTTAAGAAGTATTTTAAAAAGTCAAATAATGGGAAAATACAGTCTACTATTCTCTTGTCTTTTTTTTTTTTTTTTTTTTTTTTGGAAACCCGTAGAAACTTAGAAATTATAGATGTTTCTGGATAGAACACAAGTCTAGGACTTTTGTATTTAAAGAAAGATTAACCAAGTGGGCAGGAGGAGTTGGGAACAGCTAAATCAGTCCTGTTGTGGTTGATTTTCATGTGCTATAATGCTTTGTAATATAAGGAATGAAAACCTGATATTTCAGCTGAGAGAGAAGTTGCACTCTTCATGTGCAACTAGTAAAATTGTATTAAAAAAAAAAAAGGAAATCTAAGTCAAACTCCATTGGGTGAGTGAAAAAAAATTGTTATAAATTATCTTCAAGAGTACGATGATATATGATTTTCCCTTTTAGAACCCAGAGTCAATGACTATTTAAAAATTCCTCCCCTGATGCACAAGGTGACAATTTACATAATTTGTAAGATAACTGTAATAAGATATACTCTTTTCCCTTTTAAAGAACTGTCAGTTCATTGTTTGAGTATTGTAAAACAACATCACTGGTTTGCTGGCTTGTATGCTTCATATGTGTAGCTTTGCTAAATTTTTTTATTGAAGGCTTGAAGAAACCACTTCTTCCCATCTATGGCTGCAATGTCAACATATTTGTCATTTCTCCACAAGCGTTAGCTGTCTATAAATATTGAGCTTGGTAAACAATTCGTTCCATTTCTTTTGCTGTTCCTATGGTTACAATTTTTTACCTGTGTACTAAAAGTATATTTAAATAAGAAAATAAAATTTTTGTCACTTAATATCCTCTGATGGCATTGCAGAGATTGTGTCTGCACCTTGTATCTTTGGCTCGCACTAGTACTAACTGACCAAGCTGTATTAAATCAGATCACTGAACTTTCATTTGAAGAATCTCAAAAAACCTATTGTTTTAAAAGTTAAAATCTTAAAAATTAAGTCCATTTTTGAAAATTAATTTCAAAACTTTATTTTGTAAATGTGATAAAGTATACAAAGTTCTCAAATAAAACCCCTTTAAACAAATGTGCAGTCTGACCCTGTAATTTCTTTTCTAGGAATTATTCTAAAGATTTAAAGAACTTAGATTATTCAGGCATGCACACTTGAGTTTATGTCTGCACAACTCTGATTGCTAAATCTTGGATGTGCCCTACATGTCCACCAGTGCCTGAATTGGTAAAGAAAATGTATTTTTTATGTAATACTATTGCTCAGCCATGTAGAATGATAAATTTGAGTCATATGTAAAAAATAGATGCACCTTGACACCATAATATTAAGAGAAATAAATAAGACACATTTTCTCTTATATGAGAAACACACAGTATAAATTATTTAAAAACAAACTTAAAGATAGATGACAGGAAACAGGAGATAGTTCTTTTGCAAGTTGGAATAGGAGGTAGAGATATATAGAAGTAGAGGAGAGTGAAGAAAGAGAAAGGAGAAGTACAAAGTAGTAAGATGTGTTATGTGCATGCACGAACTCCCCACCAACACAAATGTGATCACCAGATACTGCAAATATGTACTCATGTAAAAGGCACTGTGGACCCTAGTGTTCAATTGGGCTCCCTGGTGGAAACGTATGTGAGAAGGGAGATACACCCTGATTCCACTAGGAAGAGACACAGGGGAATTCTGCTTCAGGTCCCTCCCGCAGCTCACCCCATGAGACTCTTCATGTGCAACTAGTAAAATTGTATTCAAAAAAAAAGGAAATCTAAGTCTTTTAATAGGATTGTAGTGATAGTTCATCATTGCTTGAATTCACATTTCCCTAATGATGAGTGATTTGATGACCTTTTTCTCTTTAGATGTTATATTTCAGAGTAAATTAGATTCAAGTGCATTTGATGAAAATATATACAAATTTCCCATGTAACTCCTGCCCATATACATACATAAACTCCTTGGTCAATAGATCTTCCATTGGGGCTGGGGATTTAGCTCAGCGGCATAGGCGCCTGCCTTGCAAGCAGGCAGTGGTGAGATTGATCCCTGGTACCGATAAAAAAAAAAATGCATTGTTTCAAAAAACAAAAATAGATCTTCTATCATAATAACAAACATTTTACAATTGATGAACTCATCTTGATGGACTACAAGCACCCAAGTTCCATAGGGTACAGTGGTGTCCAAACTTGGTGTTTTAGATTCTATGAATTTGAGCAGATACAGGACACGTATAAACCACTAAAACACACACAGCACTTCATTGCCTTTATTATACAGTGTATTTTCATTTTCATTTTCCATTATTTGTCTATTCTTCATTCCCTTATCCTCTACCTCCTAGAAAGTACTGGTCCTTTTACTGACTTTATTTTTGCCATTATAGGAGAACCACGCAATTGGAATTATATGCGTGCATCATTTTCAAATTGACCTATTTGGGAATATATATTCAGTATTTATGCTTTTTCGTGGTTTGGTAGCTCTCTTTTACTGCTGAATAATATTTCATTGAATACACCACTATTCATTTACTCATTGTGTACAACTCAGGAATGAAATTATATACTCATTCTTTATAGCCGGCTTTTTCATGTTTTCAAATTCATTTATTTTTGAACTTACAAGATGTATGATTTCCAAATCTTTGGTTAAATAGCAGTAAACTATTTAGATGTATCTTGCTTTTTCCCCTATCCCCTCCTTCCTTTCATTTCATTCTCTGAATAATTCTATGAGGTAAGTGCTTATTATGATTATCCTTATTTTGTGATTTAAAAAAGATGAGACTGAGAACTTGGGAACATTTTTAAGTCACTTTTACAGCTCTGCTAGCAGTGAGGCCTAATTTTGTTTTGCTGCAACACAGCATGTCTCTCCTGGACAGTGTGTAATATGTGATTCTGTCAATAGCAAGCACTTCTCACAGCCATTATTATTTACATCATGTTTTGAAACTCAGAAAGCAGTTCAGCTTTCTTACTAGGTAATAGAAAGCTCTCAATTAGAAATACATTTGCTAACACTCTTCCTACCAATTACATCAAGCTATGAGTACTATTAGTGGAAATAAATCAGAATGAAACTTTTGAATTAATTAATCTCAAAGGAGATGCTTCTCATGTTCATTAAAACTAATTTGTTTCCCTGTAGTTTTTGTCTCATTTGTGACCTATGCCATGGGGCGAAGTGGATTAAGACTGGGAATTGGCCTCAGCTATGCAACAAGGCATATTAAAGTGTTCATTTCACCCTTGCAAATTACTATCCTTGGAAGTAAATTTCCTTCATGCTGTGGGTTCTCTCTGGAATTGCTACTCCAGGGAAAAACTAATCATCAGTGTTATATACACATCCTAATGTCCAGCCTCTTCCTGACCACATGCTCCTGAGCAATTTTTTTGACTCTAGTTTTTCCAGTTTTATATTGTGAGGCTGATTGTTCCTAAATCACTGTGTTAAAAGGCCTTCTTAGAACCGATTCTTACCCTAATTCTTGTGAGAAGCAGTGTTCAAATGTCACTTTCCAGTTACTGTGTAAATAAATACTGTAAATACTGTGTAGAGTCTACTTGAACTGACAATGGAAACTATGGGTTTATTAAGATCAAAGCTCACCACGACTATCTGAGGATTTATGTAGTAGCTTTTAGATCTCTGCCAGTTTAGGATTTATCAAGTACTGCTTAAACTCTTGGTAGTTAAAGGCAACATGAATGTATCATAATTGTATCTTCTTTATAACTCCTAAGTATTAGATTGAAATTTTGTACTATAAAGAAGTTTGGGAAGGCTAATATAAGTACAG